CGACACGCATGACTTACCCTGCTCACATTCCAACAGCTCGTCAGGTCCCAAAAACCATTCATCTCCATTCACTCCTGTCTAAAGTGCTCATGCCCACTTGCTGGAAGTCCAAACTCCTTGCCCACAAAATCTCCTTTAACACTTCCCTCCAACCTTCTCGGGGACAACACCTATCCCACCTTCCTTCCCTTACCGATTTATACACTCTCCAAGTCATTCTACTTAGTTCCATTCTTTCTAAATTACCAAACCACTTCAACAGCCCTTCTGCAGCCCTCTTTTTAATACTTTTAGTAACTCCACACGTCGTCCTAGTTTCCACACTACAAATTCTCTGCATAATATTTACACCACACATTGCCCTTAGACAGGTTATCTCCACTGCCTCCAGCCGCTGCAATGGAGCTCACAATGCCTGATTCGTACCTCTTATATAACAAAACTATAAGGAAGGTATGTAGATCTGTGGGGAAGTGGAAAAGAATCCTTCTGTAAGCCATGTATGTTGTAAGAGGCAACTAAAAAGCCGGGAGCAAGGGGCTAGTAACCCCTTCTCCTGTATAAATTGCTAAATTTAAAAAGATAAACTTTAATTTTTGATCACCCTGCCTCAGTGGGATAGGGCCAGTACTTTGAAATAAAAAAAAACAGTAGATCCAAAGCAATATTTGAAAAGTCATCTGGAATAAAACACTATAAGAAACAGACATAAACTTGATACAGTACACAAAGAGTGCTGCAGAATACACCACTGTATACAAACGTGTGTAGAAAATATGCTAACCTTGGGACTTAGCAGAGATTTCAACAACCCAGAAATGAATATATGAGAGTAAGGAGAGGAAGAAAGAAACCAAAAAAGAAATATTTGACAAGAACAAGATAGCTCTAAATCTTTTCTTTAGCTTCATAAAAAAAAGCAAAATACATGTGAACAACAAAGTGCAAAGAATTTGGGATAAAAACAGAATTGGAATAGGAGATTTGAGAGGATTCTTAAGAGAATTATCAAGTTGTTTTCTTAACACTGAAAGGTAGCTATTGTACCGTTTTTGAAGGGCGGACAGTACTGAAAACGTTGCCACTTTTTTTTTTTTTTCTTTTTTTTTCCCCCAACTAGTCGGCTGTCTCCCACCAAGGCAGGGTGACTCAAAAAGAAAGAAAATCCCCAAAAAGAAAATACTTTCATCATCATTCAACACTTTCACCTCACGCACACATAATCACTGTTTTTACAGAGGTGCCCAGAATACAACAGTTTAGAAGTATATACGTATAAAAATATGCAGTATATCCTTCCAAACTGCTAATATCCCAAACCCCTCCTTTAAAGTGCAGGCATTGTACTTCCCATTTCCAGGACTCAAGTCCGGTTATATAAAATAACCGGTTTCCCTGGATCCCTTCACTAAATATTACCCTGCTCACACTCCAACATCTCGTCAGGTCCCAAGTACCATTTGTCTCCATTGCTCCATGCTCACGCACGCTTGCTGTAAGTCCAAACCCCTCGCCCACAACACCTTTACCCCCTCCCTCCAACCTTTTCGAGGACAACCCCTACCCTGCCTTCCTTCCCCTACAGATTTATACGCTCTCCATGTCATTCTACTTTGATCCATTCTCTCTAAATGACCAAACCACTTCAACAGATCCTCTTCAGCCCTCTGACTAATACTTTTATTAACTCCACACCTACTCCGAATTTTCTGAATAATATTTACACCACACATTGCCCTTAGACAGGACATCACTGCCTCCAACCTCCTCCTCGCTGCAGCATTTACAACCCAAGCTTCACACCCATATAAGGGTGTTGGTACTACTATACTTTCATACATTCCCTTCTTTGCCTCCATAGATAACATTTTTCGCCTCCACATATACCTCAATGTACCACTCACCTTTTTTCCTTCATCAATTCTATGATTAACCTCATCCTTCATAAATCCATCTGCTGACACGTCAACTCCCAAATATCTGAAAACATTCACTTCTTCCATACTCCTCCCCAATTTGATATCCAATTTTTCTTTATCTAAATCATTTGATACTCTCATCACCTTACTCTTTTCTGTGTTCACTTTCAACTTTCTACCTTTATGCACACTCCCAAATTCATCCACAAACTTTTGCAATTTTTCTTTAGAATCTCCCATAAGCACAGTATCATCAGCAAAAAGTAACTGTGTCACTTCCCATTTTGTATTTAATTCCCCATAACTTATTCCCACCCCTCTCCCAAACACCCTAGCATTTACTTCTTTTACAACCCCATCTATAAATATATTAAACAACCATGGTGACATTATACATCCCTGTCTAAGACCTACTTTACCGGGAAGTAGTCTCCCTCTCTTCTACACACCCTAACCTGAGCCTCACTATCCTCATAAAAACTCTTTATAGCATTTAGTAACTTAACACCTATTCCATATACTTGCAACATCTGCCACATTGCTTCCCTATCCACTCTACCATATTATTTTTTTATTTTTTATTATCACACTGACCGATTCCCACCAAGGCAGGGTGGCCCAAAAAAGAAAAACTTTCACCATCATTCACTCCATCACTGTCGTGCCAGAAGGGTGCTTTACACTCCAGTTTTTAAACTGCAACATTAACACCCCTCCTTCAGAGTGCAGGCACTGTACTTCCGATCTCCAGGACTCAAGTCCGGCCTGCCGGTTTCCCTGAACCCCTTCATAAATGTTACTTTGCTCACACTCCAACAGCACGTCAAGTATTAAAATCCATTTGTCTCCATTCACTCCTATCAAACACGCTCACGCATGCCTGCTGGAAGTCCAAGCCCCTCGCACACAAAGCCTCCTTTACCCCCTCCCTCCAACCTTTCCTAGGCCGACCCCTACCCCGCCCTTCCCCTTCACATTTACCCAAAGAAACCTGATACCCCCCTCATTGACAGTTAATTCCTTACCATTTATGGAAACCTTTTTCTGAGGGGCCTTTTAAATGTAATTAAAAAATGCTTCCCTACCTTTTTTAATACTTTCCTTTAGCCTTCCCCCTGTAATATTATTATCTACACATCCCCTACCCACTCTAACACCTCCTTGCTCATCCGCAATTCTACATTCTGTCTTGCCTCTAATTCTTTCAGTAATAACCCTACCGTTTACTTTTCCTGGTATGTTCGGTAAACTTATTCTTCTATAACTTTTATAATCTCTTTTGTCCCCTTTCCCTTTATATAAAGGGACTATACATGCTCTCCGCCAATCCCTAGGTACCTTCCTCTTTCATACATTTATTAACCCTTTCAGGGTCAGTCCCGTAGATCTACGGCTTTACGTTCAGTGTCCAAACCTTAGATCTACATCATGAGCTCAGCTCACTCTGGTAAACTGTGAGTGGTACATTTGGGCCTAGATATGAGAGAATACATCTTTGTGGTATGTGTGCACCACATAAAACAGATCCTGCAGCACACTGTATAATGAGAGAAAAAAAACTGAAATCATGATTTTTTGATTAAAACAGCGACTTTGCAGTGTTTTTCCTATGTTTTTTATAGTTGTATTTGTGATTTCTTGTCTCATTTGATAGAATGGAAGACACATTACAGAAATAGAGATGATTTTGATTAGTTTTCGCATTGGAAATGGCTTGAAACTGAGCTCAAAGTAGCAGAAATGTTAAATTTTTGCCGATATTCAAGAGTAAACAAACGACCTCACACGTCTGATACACGCCAGCTGGTGGGTCTAATATGCATTCACAAATGTGGTGATGATATTTATACAATTATTACAGTATTCCATAACAGTAAATCTTCTATTTTTTGGGGTGAATAAAAATTCATTATATGAATAAAAAATCAAAATGGAATTTATTTGTAAAGCCTCAAAACATAACTAATGAACAGAGGAAATGTTAGTTTAGTTCCATGAATACCTACATTGTTTATTCTGGACCCTATTTTGAAATTGGAATATTTTGAACTTTGTGTTAAATTGGCCAATTTAAAAATTTCCGATCACTTTAATTTGTAGTTGAAACAGTTGACTTGGTGATTTCTTGTGCTCATTCGATAGAATAGAAGTAATACTAGTGAAATAGCTAAGAATTTGGTTGGCTGGAATTATGTAATTGGCCTAAAATGGGAGTCAAAGTCGGCAAAATTGCCAATTCGTAAATATCGCTGACACATCAAAATTCGCGAGAGTATAATTTCGTCAATTTTCCATCAAATTTCGTACTTTTTTGTTTTATTACCTTCACAAAAAGATTCTCTACCATTTCATAAGAAAAAAATAATTTTTTTTTTTTTTTTTTTTTTTTTTTTTTTTTTTTTTTTTTTTTTTTTTTTGAAATTCTTGGACGCTGGAGCACCACTTCAGATTTGGGCCTTGGACCCTGAAGGGGTTAAACAAAAATACCAATCATTCCAACACTATGTACCCCCCCTGCTTTTAATATTTCTGTCATGATCCCGCCAGTTCCAGCTGCTTTACCCCCTTTCATTCTACGTAATGCCTCACACACCTCCCCCCACACTCACATCCTGCTCTTCTTCACAAGGTCATTATATTACCTACTACGTACGATTTGTTAGTCAGGAAACTCTTTTAGAGGGTGAACAGTGTTTCCTGGTTTAAGGGCTACTAGATCTCAGGTGACGACTACTCTGTAACACGAACATACCCCTAACAGTCTTAAAAACAAAACTTGACTTGTTCCTGTAAACTTTCTTAACCAGCTAGACTCTGAGACCTAAATTTGCCTGGATGTGTCAAGTACCAACACGAACTAACCAGGCCCTCAGCTAGGAGGCTTGTTGTCAAACCTGGCCAAGGGGACAGTTATTCCCAGAAGCATCACTGGGTAGAGAGATAGGCTCTGGTTGTTGAGGTGTTCAGCAAGAACTCTTGGTATAGGACAAAGGTGCAAGGATACAAAGATCCTCCTTAAGCAAAGAAAAATAATTAAATAGAATGAATTGTTGGATTAATTTTCTTTCCTTATCATTTAAGGTACACAATGTGTCGTATGAAGTACGGTCGGATAAGTACCCTTCTTTATGGTCCATTCTGATCGTCGAGGATACTGTTGTAGCCAATACTCTGCTTGATGAGATGAAAGTGGAGTCCATCCTGCTGATTCCTACTGCAAAAGAGGCAGGGCATATTTTGAAAGATAAAGCAGCGTAAGTGAATCAAATGTAATTATTAATAATGTTTGTGCTTATAATTAGGTTCAAAAAAAATTAAGAGCAAATAAAAATGTCTGCATAAGGCTAAGTAAAAAGACAAAAGACAAAGGCGAGTTAACAATTACAATTGATCATCAAGTTTGGAAAATTTCATTAAAATTTAGTAGTTTTGTAGAGCCTTTTTATGTTCAGAGCTTTTCAACAATTGTTAAGCTAAAGATTGCAGAAATCTGAATCATATCTCTGTAATACAGTACAGCACTAATCTAGTTAAACCTGACATTCATAAGCATTAAAGATCAGAATAAAATTAGCCAAAATATGACTAATAACTGAGCAAGACGTGGTGGCGGTGGCGGCGGCGGCGGCGGCGGCGGCGGCTGCTGCTGCTGCTGGTGCTGTTGTTGTTGTTGTTGTTGTTGTTGGGAAAGATGATTTATCTTAAAAAGAGTAGGTGTAGTGATGAGAGCTAGAGTTTGGGTAGATGCGCGAATTTTGAGGAACTTTTAAATGTTGAAAAAGTGGGGCAGTATTTCTGCACTGATTGAGATGTAATCTTGGAGTGAAGAAGAAGGATGTAGTATGGGGAGGTGCGTGAGGCATGCGGAGTGAAAGGGGTGTGAGCAGCTGGAATGGACGGGATCTGTGAATGTTAAAAGCGTGAGGTGGGGGGGTGTTTGTCTTGGTGCTGGTTTGTTTTTTAATGTATGAAAGAGGGAAGGTACCTGGATTGCAGAGAGCTATATAGTTCCTTTTAAGAGGGTACAAAGTTGTCAGATTTAGGGAATAAGTTTACTGGGATAGTTTGAGGATAGCGATGCTCAGGTTAGGTGTGTGAAAGAGGGAGCTCTTCTCCCGGAAGTGTGGCTTGCAGGATGTGTTGTGTCCCATGTTGTTTAATATATTTTTGACAGTGTTGTTAAAGAAGTAAATGTGGGGTCTTTGGAGAGGGGGGGGATTAAATTAGGGAATAAAATACAAAAGGGGAATTTACATAGTTACTTTTTGTGTTTTAACCTGCTTAGGGGGAAAGATGCTAAAAAAAAAAACTGTAAAGGTTTAGTGGGTAGTTTGGGAGTTTTGGTAAAATTAAAAAAGTTGAAAGTGAAATAGAAAAGATAAGGTGATGAATAATTTAGAAAAAAAAATTGGTATCAAATTGAGGAGGGGGTTGGAAAAAGTAAATGTTTTCAAAATTTTTGGGAGTTGACATGTCAGCGAAGGGATTTATAAGGTGGGGTTTAATCATAGAATCGAAAAAAAAAAAAAAGGCGAGTGGTGCTTGGGTATTGTGGGGGACAAAAAAACGTTTCTTGGAGGCAAAGAAGGGAATGTATGAAAGTATAGTGGACCAACACTCTTATATGGGTGGAAGCTTTATTGTAAATGCTCGCGAGGAGGCAGTTGGAGACAGTGGAGTATCCTGTCTAAGGGGAAAATTTGTGTAAAATTATTCAGAAAATTCGGGGGGTGGAAATTAGGAGAAAGTTGGAGTTAAATAAAAGTATTTAGAGGTGATGAGGGTTTTTTGAGGTGGTTTGGTCATTTATAGAGAAAGATCAAAGTAAATGAAAAGGAGATATATAAATTGTAGGGGAAGGAAAGGGGGGTAGGGGTCGTCCTCAAAAAGGATGGAGGGAGGGAGTAAATGAGGATTTTGGGGTGGGGGCTTGGACTTCCCGCAGCATGTTCGAGGTGTTAGATGGAGGAATGGAAACAAAAAGTTTTGGGGTCTGATGACTGTTTTGGGGTGTGAGAGGGGGAATACTTAGTGAAGGGGGTTTATGGAAATGGTTATTTTTATATAGTAGACTTAGTACTGGAAAATGGGGAATACAATGCTTGCACTTTAAAGGAGGGGTTTGGGTATTGGCATTGGAGGGGGTATGTTTTTTTCTTTTTTTTTTTTTCCCCAACAAACTTTTGTACCCACCAAGGGGGGGTGCCCCCCCCCCCCCCCCCAAAAAAAAAAGTAACTTTTTCTTTTTTAAATTTTTGTAATTTAACGGAGAAGGGGGTTTTTTCTAGGCCCTTGCTCCCGGCATTTTTGTCGCCCTTACAACCGCATGGGTTTCGGAGGAAGAATTTTTTCCCCTTCCCCCTGGAGATAAGAGGAAATAAACAAAAAAAAGAACTAGAAAGAAAATGAAGAAAACCCGGGGTGTGTATATATATACTTGTTAAAATATGTATAGTGTGACCTAAAGTTTAAGTAAAAAACAAGAGTACCTGAAATCTTGCAGTTTAACCCTTTCAGGTCGTCCCTAGATCTACGGCTTTTAAATGAGTGTCCCCAAACCAGATCTAGCCAAAATTCTAAAACGCCATAAAATTTTGCGCAAAGGCCATAGGCCTAATGTGGGAAAGGGTCTGCCCGTGGTGTGCGCTGTAAAAAAAAAATCTAGGCGCATGCATTGATTGTGGGGAACGCCAGTCAGTCCCCTTGTTTTCCATGCCTCGTCGCAAGTCAGCTCTCACCCCCGGAAAATTGGG